GGCTTCAAACACGCTTCATTTACAAGACAGTCAACATTTTCATGATGACCCATCGAAGTTCGAACACAGTCTACACCGCAGCAGTGGAGTGTGTCAAGAGAAACACAAAGAACGCAAGTTATGGACACACACACTCACACGAGTGGAGAGGAAGGCAGATGCACACAGCCGCGCGCGCGGACATAGGATCTAGCCTAGGCCTAGGGCAAAGCTACACACGACCAAAAAAAAAAAAAAAAATACAAAGAGAGTCGGGGAGACGAGAAAAGGAGACTGGCTGCGATTTCACCTTTGACCCTCGCTATCCATTAATCCTGATTGTGTATCGCGCGCGAGGTGGGATGAAGGCGGTGGTATGAGTACTATGAGTGGCACAGTGGGCAGTGGTACGCACAGGCAGCGTGTAGGCCTAGTGTGCTGTATCGTGACTGGCCGTCTAAAAAGTTTTCCTTTCCCATTTGACCACAAAACAAAAACAAACAAGTGAACAAAAACTACAATGGCGGGTGTCTAAATAACAGTGCACACTTTTGCGGGACCGCTATAGGCCTACTTATAAACAAAGGGAAATAGCATGGGAAATTTTCTACATGAAAATCTCTGGATTATGTCTACTTCGCACTCAAGCACGCTTCGGCTTTAAGCACGCTTAAGCTTTCTCCCGACGACCGTGCTTAAAGAGAGAGAGAGGGAGAGAGAGAGAGAGAGAGAGAGAGAGAGAGAGAGAGAGAGAGAGAGAGAGAGAGAGAGAGGGAAAGGGAGAGGGAGGGAGAGAGAGAGAGAGAGAGAGAGAGAGAGAGAGAAGGGGGAAAGATAAGAGAGAAGGGTGGGGGAGGGGAGAGAGAGAGAGAGAGAGAGAGAGAGAGAGAGAGAGAGAGAGAGAGAGAGAGAGGGGGGGGGGGGGGAGAAAACAGGTCCAAATAACAGAGAAATAGGAATGAACTAGGAAAGAGAAAAAAAGGAAGAAATGTACTTATGAGTAAGTGGGTATTTTTATGAATTGAATATGAATGAGCAGAGATCACAAAAACAAAAGCTCTGAAGCCTTTCAGATTACATGTCAGTGTTAGAAAACGAAATCAACAAAAAAACAGTTGTCAGTCATTATTTTATTCCTTTCTCCTAATAAGTTAAAACGGTTCAACAAAGTTCTATGTACAGTTTAAACAAATCATAACCATCAAATTACACGTAACAACTACATAAGTTAAACATAACCTGGTAAAAATCTACGTAAACAAACGGGAACACAGCACACTGTGATGGGGTCCCCAGAGTAGTGTAAGGGACATCATCCCGTCAGGCATGTCATGTAGGAAGTGAAAGTTATTGTAAAATTTATACTCTTACTAGTCTTACCATCCCAATTGACACAAATTTCCATCATTTTTTCCATCAAATTTCTGGTGTGGTTTGCTTCTTCTTTCCTATCAAACGTCTATCGTCCTGATCTCTCCTCCTATTTTGTGTTTGTTCCTCTCTTGTAACACCTCTAATCTTCGGCACTTATATGACCTTATTGTGTTGCAAGTGCCGTAAAACTCTTTACTAAAACTAAAACAACTCTTTCGGTATCAGCTGAAGGGAAACACAACAGACAGATACCTCCATTCAGGACAAAAATAACACATGTATTTTAAAAAAAAAGTATTGTTCCTGTTTGCATGTACCAGGAATTAATAAATTATTAGAATGAGCAAGACAATAGATGGAAGAGATGGAGAAGGCAGCCCCTACCCATAATTATAAGAGCACGAAAAAGGCTATCAGTACTATCACAGATTAAACATAAATTTCTAGCAGGTGTCAATCGTGGAGATCTACAAAGCAGGCAAGATTAGAACCATTTTGATGTTGAGAGAATCAAGGGATAAGGTGATCAGTGGAAAACCTCCAGGTGT